TATATATATATATATATATGAATTTTCATTTTCATTTCCACATTAATTGTATTTTGGCCAGTAACTATGCCTTCTTGCCCATTCTCTCTAGATCTATTATTGGTCCTACCTCTCCACCTCTGGCTCAATATAGGGATCTGGCTCAAAAATCACCCATCTTGCTATTAGGGGGAGGGCGCAGGTGCCTTGCTTGGACAGACCCGTCCAGATATACACACATCAGCTCATACAAATTGGTAGGTGATAATCTCACCTTATGTATTTTCTTTATTTCATATAGAACCATGAATGTATAGATTATGCTTACTGTTGCTCCTTGTCTCCTTAAAATGTATAGATACTCTCTTGTTCCTGAAGAAGCGCCTGTGTGCGCGAAACGTTGAACAAACCGGTTCCTCCATTTTTCCTTCTATTATTGTACAGCATTTCTCTACCATCATACGTTTTTTCAAATCATGTTCATGATTAATTGTTGCTTATCCGCTGATTATTGTCATTGAATCATGTACCTTGCCTATTAATTTTCATATGTCACAAAATCATGTTGTTTGGAAGGTTTATTTATGGAGTGAAGCCATAGGGAGCTAAATTACTCAGCTGATCATATGTTTTATTTACTGGATCTTTGATCCAACATTTTAAAATTCTTTATCCTAATTAAAATTAATTTTTTATATGAATTATTGTTTCATGGAGTTGTTTCCTTCTGGTGCTCTCAAAACCCCACGTTCTGTCTCTTGATACTAGAGGCAATGTAATATGTCCGGCCAGTCTTTGTAAGGCTGCATCTACCTTTGGTGCTGACATGAGGAGGGAGCCAGGATATATATTGTGGCATTGTGAGGCAATGCCGCGGTGTTGGGTGGCCTCAGGGTCGCCCGGGGTTCTCGGCCAGAGGGGCTGAGTGGCTCCAGGAGGACATTGCTGGTGCCGGGAGAGAGCTGCCTTTTCAGTTCTTTCTGGGTTTTCTGGATCATGGTTGGGATCCTATGTGTGTTTTTTTCCTACTTTTTGTGTGCAATAAACTGTGCATGCCTATGGTCTGCAGTTCATACTACAGCAAGAAACCCAACACATACCTCCAGGCTATGTGAGAACTAACTTAGAAAATAAGACTGCAGGTTTCAAATCATGGAATGGCCAGCACAGTCTCCAGACCTAAAGAACATCAAGCTGGTTTAAACTGGATAGAATGGTGAAAACAACCCTATTAGTGCAACACATTTGTTGAAAGTTTTGGGAAGAACATTTTGAACAGTATTTGATTTTTATAGCAGAAAGAAGGCCACTAGTTTGTTTAGATGCAATATCTGCAAAAGGTAGCTACTTTGAGTAAAAAAATTAGAATAAATTTTTTTAATAAAAAATATTCCACAATTTTATTCTGTACCTAAAATTATTTCATTTAGACACTGAACTTTATAAAAACAGAAAACATTGTTTTTTGTTTTTTTTAATCTTCCAGTTGTTTACTATTTAAAAAAAAATGTTAATACATAAATACAGTATCTAATTTCTCTAGAAGCTTGTGATGATCAGATTTCCCTTTCACAGTTCTTGTATCTATTCTTGCATACCTTAAATAAAAATAAGTAAATAATAAAAATAAAGGGTGGGCCCTATCAAATTGGGCACAGGCCTGGGGGCTTAGCTACAGAGATTTACCCAGAGTACCTGGGAGGTATGTGAAACAATTGGGATATCTGTTATATTTTGAATAGGATCAGTCATTAATGCTAAACTTGAATAAAAAGACATCATCATCATGTTCCTTAGAAAATACATTTTCCACCAGAATTATAAAAGTAAATGATTAGATACTTAGTATATTTATTACTCACATTGGTTATGCACAGCAATGCCAGCAGGAATGTAATGAGTCCTACTGCAAAGGTAAACATTTTCCGATGTCTCTTGAGAATAGTGAAATCATCAGCCAGTCCAGTGATAACTGCCTCCATACCACCCATCTGCAAAGAAAAAAAAGATATGGCAGTGATGTGTGGTACTTACACTCTCTCTCTTCTCTCTCTTTATATACAATGTGTGTGTGTATGTATATATATATACACACACATATATATATATATAAGGTTGTGGTCACTTTAAGGGTTAACTCCCAGAGAGGATTGTGGAAGTTGAGGAGGAAGTGGTTAGCTGTGGATTTGAAAAAGACCTGCGGTATTGCTGTGCTGGGTTGACAAGACTTTATTTCCAGGAAAGGGATTCCCTCAGGTTTGGTTATTTTGTGCTGAAGACTTGAACTGTTGCATTGAGTTCACACTGTCTTTGTGTTTATTGTTGTGGCGGCCCTGCAAGGGGAAAAATAAAAGCCTTTGTTTTTACACAAAACCCTATGTGCGAGTGCTCTAGGAGCTCCCCAACTTCACAACTGGTTTTCGAATGCGGGCACAACGCTATCTCTCGCAAGTATATTTTTATGTGAAAAACTGACATTTAAAAGAAGCGGTGTACCATTTGCATGTCCTGGGCTAAGGTTACACTAAAGTCTGCAGCTATGGAGGAGCTGATTAAGCAGCTGGTCTTAGTTAATGTGCAGGCCCAGACCCGCCATGAAGAGGCACTGGCTCAGCAGCAACAAGCCCTGGCTCAGGCTGTTGCAGCCCAGCACGAAAATACCCGTTTGCTGGCTGCCCAACTTACAGCACAGCAGGAAGCCACACAGACGTAGGTAGGCCCTACAGGAGACCATGCAGCAACTTGCACACGGGCATGATGAAGCAGTGGTTACCTCTGGTAACCACGTATCCATAAGGGCCAGTCATTTCCTGCAAAAGCTTTCTCCAAGTGATGATGTGGAAGCATTCCTCACTACGTTTGAGAGGACTGCTGAGAGAGAAGGGTGGCCCCAAGACCAATGGGCCGGCCTCATTGCCCCGTTTTTGACAGGTGACCCCGAAAAGGCATACTTTGATCTGACACTTGAGGAAGCGAAACGTTATGACCGGCTGAAGGCTGAGATTCTGGCCCACCTTGGGGTAACTGTTTCGGTTCGGGCTCAGCGGGTATACTGCTGGAAGTACAGCCCTGACCAGCCACCTAGGTCCCAGATGCACGACTTGGGGCAGCTGGTTAAGAAGTGGTTGCAGCCAGAGACCCTGACTGGAGACCAAATAATTGAAAGGGTCGTGATGGACCGTTACCTGAGGTCTCTACCAAAGGATCTACAGCGCTGGGTCAGCCATGGGACTGCAGAGCTGGTAGTCGAGATGATGGAAAGATACTCCGTGGTGGAGGACCTGCTCAGACCAGCCAGTCGCCGGGGATCAGAGTGAGGCCCGCTTCAGTTCCTCGGAGGGAAGCATCCTTGAACCCTGGAACCAGCATCCCGGAGTCGTCTTCCTCGGTTTCCGCAGAGGCTTGTCACTATCAGAAATGCTGGGGATATACAGTGTTGGAGGTGTCGAGTCTGGGGCCATACCCAGGCGCAGTGTCCCCTACAGGAGGAGCCTATGGAGTGCTCTAAGAGTGTCCTTCTACCCCTTCTACCCCCTCAAAACCCCCTACCCATCTTGACCTAGAGGGGGGTCATTTTGAATGTACTGTGTGGGTGAATCACCGTCCTGCCAAAGCTCTCTTGGACTCGGGTAGTATGGTCACCCTAGTCCATGCCCGGGTAGTCGGAAGGCTCGGTCCAGTACGAAGATCCCTCTGGGTTGTCTGTATCCATGGGGATACCCAGGAGTATCCATTGATCCCTGTCATCATCTCCACCAGGAATAGTTTGGTTACCCAAGAGGTTGGGGTGGTGGGTAATCTGATACATGATGTGATTGTGGGACGGGACTGCCCCTTGTTTGCTGAATTGTGGGGCTTGGCACAAACTGAACTGCCCATCGAACTAGGTAATAATTCGGGGTCAACACCACCAAACATGATGATTGTTGATGATGTTAATGACGATTTGCTCATATGTGATCACTATGGGGATGGTGTAAATGATGCTAGTGTCCTAGCTCCTCAGCCTGAGTTGACCCCCAAGGAGGGGGAGGATGAAGAGGAATTATCCTCATTAGATATTACACTAGGGGTGGATGAGGGGGAAGGACCTTCTTGTCCAGCACACCCTGACTTAGATGTGTCTAGGGGTGCATTTGGCATGGCTCAAATGGGTGACACCACATTGGTAAACGCTCGAGAACAGGGAATTGTTGTCAATGGGGTACCTCTAACACCAAATGCAAAGAAAAGATTTCCCCACGTTGCTGTCAATAATGATCTGTTCTATCAAGTGTTTGAAATTCGGGGAGAAGTTGTGGAACAGTTGCTAGTGCCCCAGCCCTATCGCCGCATGGTGCTGGACCTGGCTCACAATGATGCCCTGGGAGTTCACCTGGGAGCAGAGAAAACCGACGCACGGATAACAGACAGTTTTTCCTGGCCTGGGATCAGTGCTGCAGTTAAGAGGTACTGTTCATCCTGCCCCGTTTGCCAGTTGACCGCCCCAGCACCACATTATAGGAAGCCCCTGGTGCCTCAGCCAATAATTGAGGTACCCTTTGAACGCATCGCAATGGATATAGTAGGTCCCCTAGAGAAGTCTGCTCGGGGACATCGATATATCCTAGTGGTCCTCGATTATGCCACAAGGTATCCTGAGGCGGTTCCTTTGAGAAACCCTACATCCAGGGCCATTGCACGGGAACTGTTCTTTATGTTTTCGAGAACTGGCCTGCCAAGCGCCATTTTGACGGACCAAGGGACCCCGTTTATGTCCCGGGTGATGGCAGATGTGTGCAGGCTATTCCAGATCAAGCAGCTGCGAACATCTGTTTACCATCCCCAGACAGATGGGTTGGTCGAACGATTTAACAAAACTTTGAAGATGATGATCAAAAGGGTTGTACAGAAAGATGGAAAAGACTGGGATCACTTGCTTCCCGCGCTCCTGTTTGCCATTCGGGAGGTTCCTCAGGCACCCACGGAGTTCTCTCCATTTGAGCTGGTGTATGGACGAAAGGTCCGGGGATTACTGGACTTGGTGAAGAAGACGTGGGAAAGTGAGTTCTCTCCACATAAAACGCTAATTGAGCATGTCTCTCAGATGAGAGAGAGGATTTCTAAGGTGATGCCTTTAGTAAAATAACATCTGCAGAAGGCCCAGGAGGCACAGAAAAGGGTGTACAACCGATCGGCCAAACTGAGACAATTTCAGGTTGGGGACAGGGTAGCGGTACTAATACCCACCGTGGAGAGCAGGTTCCTAGCCAAGCGGCAGGGGCCATATGAGGTGGTTGAAAGGGTAGGGGAAGTAAATTACAGAGTGCATCAGCCTGGTAGAAGAAAACCATACCAGATCTATCACGTAAACTTATTAAAACACTGGAAAGATCGGGAGGGGTGTGCGCCATGGTTGGAGTGGGTGTAGAGTCTAATGGTGTTGACTGGGTACACATTGCTACTACCCTGTCCAAACATCAAACCCAACAAACAAAATAATTTCTGCAGATAAATAAATCTATGTTTTCAGGTCTGTCAGGACACACATCGGTAATTAAACACAATATTGTGACAGAACCCCATGTAAACGTTCGGGTAAAGCCATACCGCATCCCAGAAGCCCATAGAAAGGCGGTTTCCGAAGAGGTTTGGAAAATGCTCCAGCTCTATGTCATTGAAGAGTCACAGAGTGAATGGTCGAGCCCCATCGTGTTGGTACCTAAGCCAAACGGCACACTGCGATTCTGTAATGACTTTAGGAAGCTCAACAAGGTGTCAAAATTTGATGCGTATCCCATGCCCAGAGTGGATGAATTAATAGAGAGGTTGGATCCGGCCCATTATATCACCACCCTGGACCTTATAAAGGTATACTGGCAGATACCTTTAACTGATGACGCCAGGGAAAAGACGTCTTTCTCCACTCCTGAGGGTCATTTTCAATATAAGCGGATGCCTTTTGGGTTACACTAAGCCCCGGCCACCTTCCAACGAGCGATAGATAGGATACTCCGCCACCACCTGAGGTATATCTCAGTCTACCTGGACGACATTGTCATCTTAACAGTACAGATTGGGAGTCCCATCTTCCCTGGATTCAGGCGGTGTTGGACGCTCTGAGGAAAGCAGGGTTTACACCTAATCCCGAGAAGTGTGGGGTAGGGATGGAGGAAGCTAGGTACCTTGGATATGTGGTAGGCAGAGGTCTGGTAAAGCCACAACTTAATAAAGTAGAAGCCATTAAGGACTGGCCCCGCCCCCTCACGAAAAAACAAGTTTGTGCTTTTCTGGGCATAGTGGGGTATTACCGGCGGTTTTTCCCCAACTTTGCATCCACTGCTGCACCACTGACTGACCTGACGAAAGGTATGAAGTCAGTGATGATTCAGTGGAATTCCAGTGCTGAGGAAGCCTTCATGGAACTTAAAAAGGCCTTTTGTCAGCACCCAGTGCTGGTAGTCCCGGATTTCATGAGGGAGTTCATTGTACAGACGGATGCCTCGAGTGAGGGTTTGGGGGCCGTGCTGTCTCAAGAGGTCAATGGGGAGGAGCACCCCGTGGTTTCTCTTAGTAGGAAGCTGACGGCAGCGGAGAAAAACTATGCTGTGGTGGAAAGAGAGTGCTTGGCAATAAAGTTGGCCTTGGATTCTCTGGGGTACTTTCTGTTGGGCAGGAAGTTCCGTTTGGTGTCGGATGAAACGGCACCGACACACTAATGCCAGGGTGACCAGGTGGTTCCTGTCCCTCCAGGAGTTCAACTTCGGAGTGGAACACAGGCCTGGGAGACAGCACCAAAATGCTGATGCCCTCTCTCGGATGCACTGTGGGCTGTTGCCTCAAACACCTCCACGTTGAGACGGGGGGGGGGGGGGAATATGAGGAGGATGGTATGGCTGGGTCCTGGATGGGAGATATATATCGCCACTGTTCGGGTTGTGGTGCCTTTTAAGGGGCCACCACAGTATTAACCTTCCTGCCCCAGGAAGGGGCTTAAAGGTTGGCAACTCCCAGAGAGGATTGTGGAAGTTGAGGAGGAAGTGGTTAGCTGTGGATTTGAAAAAGACCTGCGGTATTGCTGTGCTGGGTTGACAAGACTTTATTTCCAGGAAAGGGATTCCCTCAGGTTTGGTTATTTTGTGCAGAAGACTTGAACTGTTGCATTGAGTTCACACTGTCTTTGTGTTTATTGTTGTGGCGGCCCTGCAAGAGGAAAAATAAAAGCCTTTGTTTTTACACAAAACCCTATGTGCTAGTGCTCTATGAGCCCCCCAACTTCACAATATATATACAGGCAGCCCCCAGGTTACAAACAAGATAGGGACTGTAGGTTTGTTCTTAAGTTGAATTTGTATGCAAGTTGGAACAGGTACATTTTTTAAGTATAACTTCAGCCCAAACATTTTTTTTTTGTTTTGGAAAGCATAAGGACCCCCCATGTAATGTTTGTTTTGCTGTGTGTGCCCCTCTTCAGAAGATTTCACCTCACTTTCTGTCCCTGTGACAATTGGATTTGGAAAAGTTTGGTTTGTCGTTGAAATCAGGATTGGTGAAAAAGCTTCAGTGGAGACTGCATGCCTAACAAGAGCCAACTTCCTGTAATGTACGTACACTACTACGCACAAGACCCAAAAAGGCGGGCACTCCTCATCGGCACGAGCGCGGTAGCACTACAACTACTGAAATGCTGCACGGTACACTTTGGCTGCAGCCTGGGACCCCCTGCTGTACAGTAATAGCCTCCGTTTGTAAGTAGGGGTCGTATGTTAGTCGGATGTTTGTAACTCGGGAACTGCCTGTATATATATATGGTTTTTTTTATTCTAGTTGTTTTTTTACTTTTATTTTGTGTATGAACTCTTGCAAACCAGTACCTATATGAGCATTATATTTAGAAAAAGACAGGCAGTTTCTAGTCCGATTGTCTCAGTATTAATGCTGACCATACACCATATACTTTTATTGCTAGTAAATAATTGTTAAAATGTACATTCTTCAAAAACATAAACATTTAATGGTTTAATATTCAAGAAGTAAACATTTAGGAGCAATGCAAATTGTTGAAGAAATAATTTTGTTTGAAAATAGGCTGAAAAATTTAATTCTGTACCCAATTACTGAAATCATTAAACCTGAATGTCATGGGACAATTATAATGTTATTATGTTATTAGGATAATAATAATACTCACAGCGCTGTCAATGCCAAGGGTAAGTAACATAATAAAAAATACTACAGCCCAAATAGTAGATCCACGGAGGGTAGATATTGCTTCTGGATATATAATAAAAACAAGTCCTGGTCCTGTTAAATGAAAAGTATAACTTAAATACACTTAAAAGAGCAAACAACTAATACATTAAAACTATCCCTAGTAGTATATTTCTAAGTTCTGAAGTTTCTGCTATTGGGGCTCATTCAAGTATTTAAAAGTGAAAAAAAAATACTCAACACAAAACTGAAGTGTTGCCCATTGGGACATATCAGAATTGCTACTAATAGCTTTTTTTTATTAAAAAAAAAAAAGGAGAAGCTTACAAGATTCTAATAGCAACACTTCCAATTTTGTTTTAATTTCCCCTCTCTACTTTTGATGAATCAGACCCCTAATGGCTAATTTTGAAGCTATCTTCTACCTTCATTCAGTCTATTCTCGTAGAACGAACAGACTGTATAATTATAAGTTAGATATATGTGCATAAAGCCAATAACTCAAATACAATTGTTAGAATAGGTTTGTGAACCTTCTGGAATTACCTGCATTTCTGCAATAAAGTGACCCCCATCAGCACGGGGAATGAAGTTCAGGTTCACCACTACTATGGGTTCACAGGCAAGTCCTGGGCATTGGAGGTAAACAGAGTAACCATAATCCACTGCCTAGCCTGTAATTTAATTTAGGTCATCTGGTTTAGAGGGACCACTAAGAGGGCTTTTGGATAAGCCAACCCCCCACTATATAAGGGTAAGCTCTAGCTAAATGTGCTATAGCTGTGATTGGAAAAGCAGAAAAACTGCATAGAGACATTAGAGTAGAGCTTGCAGGCACTGGCAGGTGTGTTAAAGTAGATGTAAACCCTTACTGAATGTCATGAAGGTAGCAAAATTCTGTTTATCTTGAGGGGAAGGTTTTTACCTTTTTTCATCTATTCTTACATTTTAATGCTGTTGATGTCATACAGCCTTATTCTCTGTCCACATGTATTACAGCGATACCAGGTTGCATGTATATTTTTTCATATGGCATAGTTCCTAGTTCTTGCTACCTGCAATTGTTTTTTTCACAGGCCTTTTTTTTTTTTTTTAAATGATGACAAAAGTGCAATATGCCTGGGCAACATGTGTCAGCACATCAGTGTTCTGTTGCCTTTGGGAGAACATACGACAGGGTGATTTACAGGCAGAAGATTGTGGGAAACAAAAGCAGAGTTTTGTAACCCTATAACACAAAGTGCACAAACCTTTATGTCATTAGCACTAGGGATGTGCTCGATGCTCGGGTCTAGCATGAGTTCGACTCGAACATCGGCAGTTCGTGTGTTCAGCGAACTCATCAGGTCAGGTGCAGGTCAGGTGCAAGACTTTGCCCAATCAGGGCACAGTACTCTGTAAGAGCCATAATTGGGCAAAGTCATGATGAGCGGACGGGTCGGTGGGCGTTGTTTTTTTTGTTTCTCATCATTTTACTTTTTTTGTTTGTTTTATTTTTTATTTCGTCGAGTCGCCATCATCGCGGACAGCGCTGGACGTCTTGATTGACCATGGATTATGTCGGTGGATCAATTTTTTTGGGGGGGGTTAAGAAAAGACTTGTCAAAAACTTGTCTTTTGTTTTTCAATTAAAGTATTTTTTCCTTAAGGGTCTGGTGTGTCTTTTTTTTTCTCTTTTTTTTTTTTTTAAATGGAGTACCTCCTAACATTCCTACCAGAATCTGGTATTGTTTGGG